TGTGTGTGTGTGTTTATCCGTATTCACACAGCCATCACCCGGCAACCCTGGGGTCACGTGCTGGAATGCTGGATTTGCAGCACACATTTCAAGGTTGCCCTGTGGAAATGAATCCCTCCCTAGTGGCGTCATCAGATGATCATCCCGTGTGACGAGGGAGAATATATATACCCGGTGTATAGAAAACTATATACCTGGTGCACGGAGGGATGGCTACACCGTCAGAGGCAGCTCCCTCTTTAGTGTTAGGCTTAGATTCCCACTTTAAATGTATTTTCTCCACAAACTTGGGTCTGTATCTGTACATGCTGGTACCACCATAAAACCCCTGTGATGCTCCGCTGTGTTGTGCTGAATGCAAAGCTAGAAAACGTAATAAATGAGACGGATGAGAGACTCCTCTGAAAGTCAGGCGTGTGAATTTTAAAGAGTTTTCTGGTAAGTTATTAAGTTGCTGACTTTCTAGTGTGTGAGATCAAGCATATTTTATTCTCAAAAAAAAAAAAAATCTTTGAGGTGATGAACTGCTCAATATTTGGAATAAAAGAGCCAGTCTTTTCTGATGCCTTTGGTGCAATACTGAGCCTCCGTGTGCACTTGGGAGGGAGTAGAGGGGAGGGGCCGGTGTCTGGGGCTCGCCCTACCCCGGTGGAAGGGACTCGAGAGCTGGGTGGGCTGGGTTAGTAACTGACGCTCAACACAAGCAGATGCTGGGATATTTAAGGTAGAAGAACATTACCTTCTGGGTGCATAGACCAGATAGAGGAGGGCGGGCTGTGGGTGGGTTAGTTTGCACGTTACAGGCAGGCTCTGCCTGGGCCCCTTGCTACCTCTCGGTAGTGGCTAAGCCGGTCTCTCCCCCAGGAGGGGTTTTAAGATGTCAAAACGCTAATAATATACAGAAAACAAATGTGTAGACTATACATGTTCCCTTGCCCGCATTCACCGTCCTCAATTTGGACGCTCGTCTGTGGTATACCCGATTCGTTTTTCATTTTGAATGAGTCAGGCCGCGCCCTTGACTAGTTGACCCAGATCCCTTGAACGCCGTCGTTTTTCCTGATTGGATTTTGCGCGTCGTTGGCATGCCTGAGACAGCCCGCCGATTTGCCTGGATCAGCCCGGGTGTTTGGGGACAAATGTTTACGAGTATTGGTCCCCACATGGGTAAAAGATGGATCCCCGGCGCCCCCCTGAGCTTCTCATGAAGCGAGAGCCAAGCGGGCCATCCGGGCGTCTTCGGGTTAATGCTTGTGTATCTTAAAAACACAACAAGCCCTCTCGTGCCCCGGAACATCACCGATTGATTGCCACCACTGATTTCAGACCGTGTAGGCTCTCTTATCGCGTAGAATCAAAATCCGCGTGAACTGGGGTCTTTGGGCCCGGTGGCCCCCCACCTGCTCCCGCCCTGGGCCACTCTTCCCTCAGTGATATACCCCTAGGCCATTCTGTCGGCATGCAG